CAAAAGAGCCCAGCCTTGAACCCTAATTAAGCTGCGAACCATCATCCCTAAACCATAACCCTAAGGGTCCATGCACCCAAATAGTATATACATTGGCCCTAAAGTACCTATATAGGGACTACATTAAGGCCAATGTATATACTATTTGGGTACATGGACCCTTAGGGTAATTACTGAATCGGCTGCGTTGGAAGGTCATGACTTTGGACAATGACCCAACCCTACGTCCTCACAAAACATGCCTTGGGAAATGTTGAAACCCGAAACCCCAAACCCTAAACCCCAAACCCCTAAACCCCAACCCCCTAAACCCCTAAACCCCTAACCCCAAAACCCTAAACCTCTAAACCCCTAAACCCTAAACTCCTAAACCCTGGACCCTAAACCCCTAAAGCCCTAAACCCCTAAACCCTAGACCCCTAAACTCTAAACCCTAAACCCTAAACCCTAAACCCCTAAAGCCCTAAACCCCTAAACCCCTAATCGCTAAACCCCTAAACCCTAAAACCTAAAACCCTAAAACCCTGAAAACCCTAAAGCCCTAAACGGTAAACCCTAAACCCACGTTAAGGCCCGTGGAAACCTCAGACTCGGAAGTAGCGACTTCCACGGCTGCCTGGGCCTTCCCCTAAACCCTATAGCATAGTTCAGTACAGTATAGCATAGTATAGTAGAGTAGAGTATAGTATAGTATAGGAAAAAAAAGGGATCCTGCTGGGGAGGGTCATGCCTCTTAGTAAGTACCTTGACCCCAAAGAACCCACCTTTTTTAGGGTTCCTTCTTATGATTTCCGTATATAAGTCCTCAGAATTGTAGGTTCTTTGGGGTGTTGGTAAGCCCTCAACCCTACCTGGACCCCAAAAGTATGTAGAATAATAGCCCTTTAGAGGTGTTGGGGCCATTATTCTACCTACTTCTTGGGGGGTTTAGGTAAGCCCTGAAGGCGTTTATTCTGCTTAACCCTAAACCCCTAAACCCTAAACCCCTATAATCCTAAACCCCTAAACCCTAAACCCCTAAACCCCTAAGCCCTAAACCCCTAAACCCTAAACCCTGTTCCGGCGCTCACCGCTGAGGACGGTCAGCTGGCCGGGGTGCAGCGAATAGAGAGAACTGAGGCCTGGGTGAGCTCTCGGTTCCGGGGGTTCTAGAGGGTTTAGGGTTTAGGGTTAATTTAGGGTTTAGGTTCTGGGAGGTCTAGAGGGTTTAGGGTTTAGGGTTAATTACGGGCGGGTTTAGGTTCTGGGGGTTCTAGAGGGTTTAGGGTTTAGGGTTAATTAAGGGTTTAGGTTCTGGGGGTTCTAGAGGGTTTAGGGTTGAGGGTTAATTAAGGGTTTAGGTTGTGGGGGTTCTAGAGGGTTTAGGGTTTACGGTTAATTAAGGGTTTAGGTTCTGGGGGTTCTAGAGGGTTTAGGGTTGAGGGTTAATTAAGGGTTTAGGCTGTGGGGGTTCTAGAAGGTTTAGGGTTTAGGGTTAATTAAGGGTTTAGGTTCTGGGGGTTCTAGAGGCTTTAGGGTTTAGGGTTAATTAAGGGTTTAGGTTCTGGGGGTTCTAGAGGCTTTAGGGTTGAGGGTTAATTAAGGGTTTAGGTCCTGGGGGGTTCTAGAGGGTTTAGGGTTTAGGGTTAATTTAGGGTTTAGGTTCTGGGGGTTCTAGAGGGTTTAGAGGGCTTTTTTGGAGTGTTTAGGGCTAGGGCTCTTTTTAAATGTTGGCTTTAGGGCCACTTTAGGTTCGTTGTTTTAGGGTTCAAGGCTTTTCTGGCTCAGGGGTTTTTAGGGGCCTCCGGCTTTAGGGTGGATCGGGCTTATAGGGTCGAGGCACTTCAGGGCAGGACCAGGGCTCTGCTTCAGGGCTCCGGATGTATAGGGACGCAAGGATGACGCGCGTAGGTGTAGACTACGGCTGATGATATAAATTCCTGCATTATACCTATAATAAGGATTGTTTTACCGCAATTCTCGTGGTTTAGGGTACTCAAGGTAATGCGGGATTTATATCATCAACAGTTTTGGCACAGGATTTCAGTCCACGACTCCGTTTGTCACAGCTAGTGGGTGGTTGTTGACACGGGAATCCTGCTATTTCCAGCAATGCTACGACGAAGGGAGCGCAACAGCACAAAGTACATAGGTAATTGAATTGCCCATAAGTCATTCAAGGTCACTTTCAACTTCACGACTATCCCCATACAACTCACAAAGCTCTTCCCACTAATTATTGTACCTCAAAGGCCTAAACTCTGATCAGGCTAAGCTGAAACCTTCACCTCGACCCCAAACTCGGGAATTCCGGAGCCATCGGCTGCTTGCGGATTTCCCGGTGCAGCTGATAAAATCAGCTCCAAAATGAAGCTTTTTCTCCGATCAATCAGGAGCGTGGCATCGCCTTGCAGCAGCTGAAGAGCAGAGCAGGTTTTTTTTTTTCAAAATTCCAGTCCGGAGTTCGGCTTTTGGACGTCACGTCGCGAACCCAAAATGGCAATCCAGGGTTACGATTTCAGGCGCTGCTGGCCTTCGTCCAAGCCACCGCCTCCGAGGCCTTCATGCAGCCTAATTTTTGGGGGTTATAGGGTTTAAATTAACCAAATGCAGTCGTAAGTTCCTGAGCGGCAGGCGACTGTTTGGAACTGTGTTTGCTGAGTTGGGGAAAGTGGGCCGAGGAAGCTGCGTAGCCTGGCCTCGTTGATGTCCATGTTGACTAGCATCTAAACCCCCAAAAGTAAAATAATGGCCGAAAACCTCTAAAAGGCCATTAGTCTACATACTTTTGGGGTCCAGGCAGCAGCAAGAGACGAGGAGAAGTCACGCCCCCGCCTCTCTTGTTAGAGACTTCCAACCGGTGGCTTGAGGAGCTGCTTCCATGGAGGGGCAAGGATGGTGCTTGGATCCATCCGACAAGGATGCCGCATGGATCAGAAATACGGATGATCTGCAGTTCGGAGTCAGCAGGTTTCGGGGATTTGGGATTTGGAGTTTAGGAGTCCAGGCTGGAAGGATGCAGGGTGCGAGTTCGAAGCGGGGCAGGGCTTTCCACAAGATCCGGGGCAAGCAGACACCAAAAACAGCAGCAGGCTCTGTTCCGAAATGGCCAGAGACTCACCAACTTGAGTTCAAGCCTCAGACCCCCCGTCCAAGCGCTCAGTCCCAACCCCCCCCGCCCCCCAATCCTAATCCGGAAACTCTTCAGCCCGGGCCCTGAACCCGAGGAACCTCTACGACTGCACGGCGTGGATTATCAAGCCGGCGACGAGACCGGATCAATGCAGTCCCTCGCAGGCTTCAGTTGTTATATGCAGGACCTATAGGAGTGGTATAGCACACACAGCTGGGATGCACTGGCTCAGCACGAGCGGAGCTGTGTAGGAGTGGTTTTGGCATGGTAGAACCCTCATGCTGCCTTGCGGGAGTGATCAGGAAGATGTATGACCGTTCCTGCCGACTCCTTCTACGCCTGAGGATGCGCATGAGATCTGACCACCGGAATCTTTGCAGTGTCCTTGCAATGTGGGCTCTATAAAGAGTTCAGGTCGTAGAACCTAACCCTCTGCGCCCTCGACAAAAACCCAGAGAGCTCAATGCCCTATAATTAAGGAATATATACCTCAAATTATAAGGGGCTTCATATTATGATTTAAGCTATCTTCCTTGAATTAACGGGGCATTGGGCTCACTGGGAACTGGGAGCTCTCAACCTTCGTTTCGAGTGCCTCCAAGGTTATGTGGAGCTCGTGACGGAAGATCCCTTGAGCTGGCATCTCAGACTCGAGCGAAGATGGGTTAGGGTTTAGGGTTCAGGGTTCAGGGTTTAGGGTTTAGGGTTCAGGGTTTAGGGTTTTGGGTTTAGGGTTTAGGCTGGGCTCAGCATCTTCCCCACCGACAGCATGTGTATAGCCATGTTACAGCAGTGTACTATCCAATAATAGCAACCATGAAGAGAGTAATGATGATTCTTATAGATTCCTGCATCGTACACTGAATGGCAGCCCGTTTACTTCTACTGAGAAGCTAGCACTTCACAAGCCTCATGGAAGTAGCTGCAACTTGCAGAAGCAACAACTTGCGTTTCAGCAAGGAGCTGAAGAGGAACAGCAAGAAAGCACAAGCAGGTGGCGGACGACCAAGAAAGCCTACATCCGCAACCCCAGCTTCCAACCACATCTGCTAAGGCCAGAGGCCGAAATGGTTCGTCTCTCATGCTTGGTCGGAGCCGGTGCGAGCCCTTGTCGGGCCTTTGGAAGTTTGGTTCTCGAGTGGCCGGTGTTTAAGAAGAAAGGATTTATGATAATTGGTGGTAGCACCAGGCCAAGGTGGAAGGGCGGTAAGTTTGCACCTTCACCACAACCCCAGTGCTGACAAGGCATGTTGGCCTAGCTCGATTTGGAGCATGATTGTCCGTGCAAAGAAAGGTTTGGCTGTTTGCAGGAGGGATGGCAAAGTGACATACACTATGCATATACGGACGTGCAAACAAATATGTAATAGCTGTGCATCGATGCGTACATGTATGTGTTTTTGACATACACGCATGTATGTATGTATGTGTGTGTGTGTGTGTGCGTGTGCGTGTGCGTGTGCGTGTGCGATGTGGGTGTGTGTGTGTGCGTGTGTGTAGCCAGACGGTTTCCACCACAACTGCTAAGAGTGTGATGTTTACAGTATCGAAAGCCAAAGCTGGCTTTGTCGACGGTAGGTTGCCAGCTTCGCCCAATGCCTGGAGCAGCATAGCCGGCTGCGGGACCTTGAGGACAAGGCACGACGGAGCCAGAGACGTGGATTCCTTGGTGGAGTTTCAGGAATGCCCTCAAAAAGACGAAGCGGAGCACACACAACACCCCACACCCTGCAGCATTGTAGTTGGAAGCTATTGTAATTCGCCTACTCAGCACATATCTCAGCATATGCAGGATAGCAAGCATGTTTCAGTTGAACGGGCGACTGCACCTTCAGGCCCGAGTTGTCTTCACCGCATCCCTTAGGGACGCCACGCAATCATGTCGGGCATGAACACTGTGAATCAGAGTACCTTCGAGCAGTCGGATGTCGCAATGCACGAGGGCGGAGGCATGACTGCCGATTCAGGGGAGCCGGTACGGCTGCTCTATACAAACCTGCAGGATCCTTCTGGACTCGCAGACCTCCTCCTGGATGAGAGGGTGGACATTCGCCTGGTGCGGGGAACTTGCCTGAAAGCGCTTGACCGGAAGAAGCAAACTTTCATCCGTCGCCAGGAGTTGGAAAACAATCCCAGCTACCCGGACGCCTTCGTCACGCGCGAAGAGTTACAGAAGTGGAAGCAAGACAGAAAATATCGCGACAAGGTTCGGATCATTGGCGTCTCTCACGTGTGGGAAACCAGAGAACATCCTGACCCTAGGGGTCATCAACTGGCGCTGATCGCCGGGGCCCAGCGTTGGCACGACCGCTATCCTTGGTATTTCTTGGACTACATGTCGGTATATCAGTTCTACCGCACAAGCATCCATCAGAACAGAAGTTTTCAATACACGATGATGCACATGCACTTCTTTTACACACATGAGTACACATGGACCTACCGTATTGAAGACCTGACCCCATTTGAGGAAGCTGATCGACAGAGGCAAGTTCAAGTATTCTTCACCGAGACAGGGATTCCCGAAGACGGAAAGGTAGAAGTACGGCCTTTTGCAGATCTCAAGGAGAACTGCACACCCTACTCTCGGCGGGGTTGGTGTGAGGCTGAGAGCCAGTGGTCGAGCATGCGGAGCAAGTCTCAACAAACAGTCGCGCTCTCTTTCGTAAGTCCGGAGACCTGGACCAGGGCTCCCATGTCACCAGCTGTCTTTCGAGCAAAAGTGTCGAATAGCGAGCTTCTGTTTACGCACCAGGACAGTGCTGAGGCCGTCAAGGAGCTGCAGGAACGTGTGTTCATGGAGAAGGCGGTGGAGACTGTGAGGCTGCAGATGTCCGTCTTGCCCTTTCGCGAATTTCCAATCCTCGCTGGCGCGCTGCCGCTTTACAAGAAGCTGAAGGTCTTGCGGATAAGCAACAGCCAGGTTGACTGTCAGGGTGCAGAGGCCTTATCCACCGTGTTGACAATGTCAGAGCTTCATTTCAACAAGATTCGCATCACCGCGGACGCAGTATGTAAGCTAGCTTTGGGCTTGAAGGGCAACAGTGCCGTGTTGAAGGTGGCACTCACTGAATGCCTGGTGGATGAGGAAGGTGCAGCGGGTCTGGCAGATGCGCTCGCGTGCAAGGACACCAGTCTGACATCACTAGATCTCGCAACGTCGTTGGGTGCACAGGGGCCAAGCACCTCTCGGATGCCTTGATCCGCAACAAACGCTTGCGAATACTGGACCTCAGCTCCAACTCCATTGCAGATGAAGGGGCAGCCAAGTTTGCTTCCCTCTTTGAGCCGATGGTCTTGCAATGGCTGAGTCTCAATCACAACTGCTTCGGCTCAAAGGCGATGGCCATCTTGCAGACTGGGCGGAACAAGAGCTTGAGGAGACATGGCGAGGTAGGGGTTTCCAAGAATCATGCATGTGTGCTTCTATACCCCCCAAGCAATCCGGGTCACAGTATCATGAATATGAAGGACACCGATTTCCCCTAATTCTCGACCAGGTCAAGCTCCGGGTCCAATGCGAAGGCGGCCCCTCCCTGCGGATTTTGGAAGAGTATGTCGCTGTGGCGTTCTTTCTTGATAATTTCCTGTTTGCGGTATGCCATTTAGCCTTACCTATACTTGCCTTGATTGAATATGACTCTTCGTCGGCTGGAGACTACGAGCTTCTACAGCTTTGGCTTACTGTCCCGAGCATGCTGCTTGTGGCTGTCCCGCCTGTTGTCCTTATGCTTATCATAGTCATCATTATCTTGGAGGTCTTCTGCGGCCACAAATTCAAATGCACGGGTAGGTGGCGGCCATTCCTAGAATCAATCTGGCCAATGATCTGCATGTGCTACTCTGTAGTTTGGCTGCCTGCCGTGCAAGTGATCACCTTCCTGGAGCGTCCGCCGAGCGACCAGCAGGGGTCTGTTGACAGCCCTCTTGGTGGTCCAGGCAGTGTTCGTTCTGTTTCACCCCACTTTTCGTGCCATATTTCGGGTGGTCCTACGCAAATCTCTGAAGCTCTGATATCCGCAAAGAGCCTTCCGCTGGACTTGGCATGTAGAGTTCCGGGGTTCAGCTTGGACTGGCTGACTAACTAGAATCATCATCACCAGCATCATCATTTGCAGTAGCACCCTAAACCTTAAAGCCCGAAACCTCTAAGCTTAAACCCCTAAACCGTACTTAGATGGGCTGTGGTTTCGATTACTTCGAATTTCTGGCTTGATCGGATATCGAATTTTGTGGCGAGAGGATCGCTGCAGATCTGAAGTCTGCGCGGAAACGCACGGACTTTTGCCGTTTGTGCAGTGCTGGATTGTGCCAATAGAAAGACAGCTCGGCAGCAGTTGAACGTGTTTTTGCAACACTATAGTCACTGTACCTTGGGTACTCGATCTTGGTTTGCGGTGCCAACATGGAAGTTTGATGTTCTTCAAGTTTTCATGTCTGATGCATGCATGACGCGAGGATGCCTGGTGGGTGTGTGCCTACGCGGCCCGGCTTTGTGTGTAACATGATCCGGCCCAAGGACACCAAGCCCCGAAGCCTCCTTACCTCCGGGAGTTCGGAAGTCAAGGGCTCCAGGCCCAAGAGATATACAGCCAAGATGTGCCCAAGAGAGTCCGAAGATAAGTCAAGCCAAGCTTTCGAGTTTATTCTTCTACATTATGGCCAATCTGGGTGCCTGCCATTCTTACAACTCGAAGCTTATGGGAGCCCAGAGTTTGCGGCATTGACGGTCTGGAATACTAATGGTGGTTTGGGCTAAGAGCAGCGTGTAAAGGTCATTGAAGTGGTCCAGTCCGGGCGTCCTTAATTATGCGGAAGAGGCAGATTGCAAACCATTTAGCTACAACATTTGCACGATACTAAACCTGACACCCTAAACCCTCAAATCCCTGCAGTTTCAACTATACTACTATATACCCAAGCCCTATGAGCCCTAAGCCAAGGCAAACAACCAGCACGAACTCGGCACTGATCTCACCCACGACCCGTTGCACAGCAGCTTCTTTCGGGCCATGTGCCTTTGTGAGGCCGGTACTGCCACAGATATTTGTCGACGGTGTGAAGATGCATCTGCAACGCTTCAGTCAGATTTAAGATCAGGCTTCAGGGTCAGGACCGGGAGTGACTTTTTTTGTAAGAGACAGGGCAGATGTCGTATTGAGGCAAAATGCTGAACACCTGAATCCGAGCACGCCCGATTATCCGATTGCATGCTGGAAGCAATTTTGTGTTGCAGGAGTCTGCCCAGTCTCCTCCAGAATGTTGTTTATGTATTGGAGCGTAACCAAGTCGCGCCCATGTCTCGGAATTCTTGGCCTGCTAGGGCGTGCTGCTAGTCTTGGATCAGGACGCCACGTGCTTCCGTCGCATTAGATGGAAAGCTGCCCTCCTAGATTTTGCAAGCCTGTATCTCACCTGTCAGATTTGACTCCTCAATCAGTATGCACGAGATGCTTCCGTTTTTGCAGCTACTCAGAAACATGTCGTGCTAGACCAGTGGCATGTAATTCACGTGGTTCGATACATGTGCATCGGTGTAGATGTCACGTATTTATCCAGAATGAAACGACAAAAGTCCGAAATTGCGAACGCCTTGCGATTTACACTCAAAGGCCCTTTCGGCGCATCTGGTGCTGCTTTGAGCAATCTGTCGCGATCACCGCCACCCGCGAGAACCGGCTACTACTGGATATCAGCCTCTCGCACCTACAACAAACGTCGGCTGGGAGTTTGTCTTCGTCCGTTTTCGAAGCTTTGGCCTTATCGGATGTAGACTAAAAGTCTGTATCGGAGCTGGAGCACTTCTCTCCTGACTGGCACCAGATTTGAACAAGAGTCGTCAAAAGGATAGCAACTTGTGTCGAGCTTTTACCGTTAAATCTGAAGAAGCATCTAAGCTTCTAAACCCTAAACCTATATATGGCTGTAGCCGAGGCCACTGTCCAGAGTCCGCTGCTCAAGCGGAGGTGATCACAGATGGGGTGTTTGGGCTGCAGTCGTTCGGCGCTACATGCCTACCAACGGCCAGCTCCGGATTGTATACCCTCAACCCTAAAACCCTACAGCCCCTAAGCTGCAGACGTCTGGGTTTTCTATTGGTGCCCTTTTGCCTTTTGGTTTTCAAACGTTCTAGTTCCCGAGTGAAGCTGAACGACCGGAAAACGGGCAGACACCGGGGAGCCTAGACATTTATTGGTTAGTAATGCAGTTAGTAACTTCTCAACCCTAAACCGTTGGAGATCTCTCATGCCAGCGCCGTTCACCGGTCCCCAAGGACACAAAAGGTACATGGTCCGACAGGCAGACAAAGATAAAGTATCTTATTATGATAGACTGTCGACAGTATCATGTGATACTGGAACAAATTTGCTGCAGCTATAGAATACAGTAGTGTGTCATATTGGGTTAGATATGACACATCCAGTTGATCTAGCTTGCCAACAAGCAAAGCTATCAGCCTGAAGTTAGAAGTTGTGACGAAGAGGGCTATTGTTGCATGCAGCTCCTGTGGCTCATGATGTGTTCTACTTTACCCAGTGTGCTGTTTCGCACGGACGCCACATGTGGAACTGAGCTTCAGCAGGTTCCGTTGGGGCGGACGACCTGCCCACAATTGCCCGCAGTTCTGCCTGACACGACCCCGAAGACCAGGTGACAGTCACCGATTTGCGCGAGAAGAAGCGAACGATCTACCGCAACATTGACGGCTCCCCGGCTGGATCTGCGAAATGCGAAAATCCCTAACTTCAGGAATGTACCAGCATCCTTGGATAATCCGAAATCCATTCTCAAGGCCTGCACCCTTCCAGTTGAAGACTTGATGTCTTAACCAGGCTACCCACAATGCACACACACGCACACACACACATATATATATATATGTATATATATATATGTATACACATATTAATATGTATACACATACACGCGCCCTATACATACATATTGCCTGTTATGTGTTTGACAGCTGTCTGTCTTAGTTATGTAAAAAACTAGTTGCTTTCCTCTGTGTATATGTGCACATGTGTCTGTGTGTGTATGTATTATATACACGTTGTTGCATGTATCTGCATGTACATATGACACGTATATATATATAATGTATACCCTTGTCGTTCCAACCTTTTTTGCCATAACATCCCCTCATGAACTCCCTTCTAACTGTCAAGCCCATAGCATGTTTTTGTGTATCAGCTTCTCCGCTCTGTCCAAGTTCTATCCACCCTTTCAGTATGAACCCCGCAAGACCCTCTGCCTGCTGACGCCTATGCAAACTCCACATGCAGAAGGCGTTGGGCGTCAAACTTTCAAACATTCTGTAGGGATCGCACGAGTCAAAGTGGCGTTTTGGGGCACATTATGCCCCAGTTACACATCAACTATCAGGGATATGGTTACTGCTTGTCCAGACTGGAAGATTACCAGGAGCTGCTGTTGATGGCTAGGGCTCAGTATTTTGAGTACGGGTTTTGAGCTTTTGTTAGAGATACTGGCTTGAATTTCAGCTTGGCTGTTCTGGCTGCGATAGATGCACTCATTGGAATGGTTGTTGGCTGGCAAGAACCTGAGGCTACGAGGACAGCGTCAAAGCGCATCGTGAGGCGGCTTTCCCTATTTCGCTGCAGCTTGCCTGCCGAAAGTGCAGGCCGCATCCCCTGAACACAGCCTGGAATGTCCTGGACCCCGCGCGCGTTCGCTCAAAGCCTCGCGAACTAGCCCGAGTTGCTTTCAGAGATTTGTTGCTAATCTCGACAGCCACCGCCCATTTCTCAGGAAGCTGAACAGATGTAATGAAGCACGAGTGGGGGGGCCAAGTCAGGGTACCAAAACTCTTGAAGGCCCATGCGACGCACGAGGTGTAACCTTCAGTCCGCTAACCCTATGGGCCGCTAGGCCCTGAACTGAATCTGAACCCCTAAGTTCAACAACGGGTCGTCATTCAGGATCCTCCAAGCACTGACCGTCATCAGCGTGAAGAACGCCTCTGCTTCGCAGCCCATTGACAAGGCGAGAGCAGAAGTTTACAGCGATAGGATGTGATGATGTCATGCGATTCCTTCATGTCCTGTGACTGGATGCAATCGTAGTCTCTCGAAGTAGTGTGTCGCCAGTAGTGATAGCTGATAGCAGCCTTTTTTGTAGTAGGAGGAGCAGGAGCAGGATCAGCAGCAGGCGCAGGGTCAGGAGCAGGAGCAGCAGTGGAAGTTACGGAAGCAGCAGCAGCAACAGCAGCAGCAGCAGCAGCAGCGATGCCAGGCTCACTTAAGCGACAAATTGGAACATCTGACTATCAATGCACATGATAGCATGTTTAGAATATCACACACAGCGTTCAAGATGAGCAAACCGGAAGCAACGGCCTTACCGAGACTCTTGTCTAACAAAGCCGTGTTTACCGGAGCACTGGGTGACTTCTCTCCTGCCAGGTGAGAATCCTGAACACCATCTGCAAGAAGACCTCCCTGGATAGCGATCCCCCAGACAGTTCGCCTCACTACGACGAAGTCGATTCAGGTCGGAGCTCTCTTGACTGGACCACGGCTTTTCTGCCATGAATCATCACCGTATGCATATGTAAAAACATATTCAATTCAACACTGTCCCTCTCTCCCTCGCCCGCTCTCTCATGCACGTATGCATGCATGCATGGATGTATGTACGTATGTATGTATCTATTAATGTATGTGTGTCGGTGTGTTTATGCTTATTGAAACAAACATACCAATACGGTCAAATCAACACAACCCCGCCCCCCTAAATAAAGACCCAAAACCCAAAACTTAAAATCCAATACAAACCCCAAACTCTAGACCCCGCTAAACCACAATCCGCGAGGCAACACCACCAAAACCAATCCCCAACAGCCCTACACTCTAAACCTTCCTAAACCCTGAAGCCTAACCCTAACCTAAAACCCGTTAGACCCCAAAAGCCCAAAATTTAA